TCGCGACGGCACTCAGCCCTTCGCTGGGCGTGTGGGACGCCGGGTACGACGAGCACGGCTTCTGGTCCGTCGAGGCTGCCCGCGCGGCGCGCGACGCGGCGGCGGCGCTTGCGCTGGACGCCGCCGACGGCGGCGCGGGGGCGGCGCGGGGGCGGCAGGCGCGGGGGCGGCAGCCGGCCCAGCGGGTCGCGGCCCTCCGCCCCCGCGGCGTCGTTGGAGGGCGAGCACCTCGAGTACCTACGGCGGCGGGGTGCGCCGTGGGGCGAGCCGCCCGTCGCGGGCGCCGCCGCGCCGCCGGAAGGGGCGAGGCGGCGAGCGAGGATCGTCGACTTTTGGCCGGGGGGCGCTCTCGACACTTACCGGCTGAGGTCACGTCTTCGGGGGCGTCGACGGGCTGGTTGGCCATGGTCCGCACGGCGGGGCGGCTGCGCCGCCAGGACTCGCGCGTCGCTGCACGCGGCCTGCAGAAGGAATGACAGCTCGGGGGCAAGGCTTTTCTTGCGCCGGGACGGCTAGGCTTTTTGTGAGACCCCGCTCGCGGAAATCGAGGAAGGCTTGGACTTTTCTTTTCTTGGGAAACGGGAGTGTTGGTTTAGAAGAGGCTGGCCAGCGACTGGACCCCCCGCCATGGGGGGACCCAACCAAGGACGGGGATTGGAGGTTGTAGAGAGATTTAACTTTTAAGCCCAGCTCGAGGGGGAAATAAAATTAGAAAGAAATGTATTCCCTCCCTCCCCCCCCCCCCCCCCCTCTCTCTCTCTCTCTCTCTCTCTCTCTCTCTCTCTCTCTCTCTCTCTCTCTAAAACCGTCTCACTCAAAATCTTTCTCTTTCTATCTCGGCTCTCTCTCTCTCTCTCTCTCTCTCTCTCTCTCTCTCTCTCTCTCTCTGTCTGTCTCTCTCTCTCTCATGTCTCAAAATCTCTCTCTCAGAAGCGGAGCACACACGAAGATCGAAGTCGGCACAACAAAAATCCCCTTTGCAGCCAAGCCTACAGGGCACCTAATCTGTGTTAGTGCCAGTGCCGTCAGTCCCGTGCCCAAAATCGTGCGGGCGTAGCAAAATTCTCTTGCGGCACCGCTGGGTTCGGACTTTTTGCGGGGTATGGTATGGTACCACCCCCCAAGCCACGAGACCATACCCGGAAAAAGTTGGAACCCTGCCCCAACAGAAGGCTGCCATGATGAAACAGCGCTACAAGGACCCATCTGCACCATCGACTGCCACTCCCGAGATCGCAGAGGCTTGCGGCAGCCGGCGCGTCCGCTACCGCGTCACCGCGCACCAGCCGCCCGCGGCCGAGAGCATCGCCGGCTCGACGGCTGCGTCCGTGTTTGAGGCGGCACGGGCGGCGCTGCTGCCGGAGGGCTACCCCGGCTCGGTGCGGCCCGAGTACCTTCGCTTCCAGGTGTACGACACGATTCAGGCCGCCTGCTCGTACCTGCGTGCCATCCTCTCAACCGGCGCAATCCTCAAGGCTTCGGGCGTCGGAGAGGCGGCGGCTTCGCCGATGGCGGCGGCGGTCGCATGGGTCCTCCGCGACGGCTTCGGCATGTGTGGATCGCTCCTCTTCGCCTCGCTCGTCGGCGTCGGCTTCGACGAGAACGTCAAGGAGTGGAGGCTGTTTGCTGACCTCATCAACGACGTCGGCCTCACTCTCAACATGCTCG